GGAAGGCCAAGTGCCCTCTGGCAGTTATTTTGACAGTGTCATCCCTCTAACGATACCCAACATCACCAGGAACACAGGAGAGGATGACAAGAAGAAGGCACGGGGTCAGCCAGGCTGCAGATGCCCACTCTCCCCCTGACAGACCCAGACCAGTTTCTCTCTTAGCGTCCTCTGTGAGGAGCTTGTTGGAGCTACTAATTCATCTTGATGTCTAAGGCCTGTTGTCAAGCTCCACTTATTTTAAAAAAAATAAATAAATAAAAAATAACAAACACCTAACTGTGTTTGGTGATCCAGAATGAGCCACACAGTATGTGAAAGTAGTCATTTTTATAAAGTGCCAGAAAAAGTCTAGTAATTATTGTTCCAAACAAGCCTCTCTTTCTCTTCAGTTTGTCTATGGAAAGAAAAGGAAAATCGTTCCTGAATGGAAGGTCTTGTAGAGAGCTGTGCTCAGCCTGGTTAGCTCCGGTCACCTGGGGATGGACGACCCTGCTCCTTCCTCCAGCTGCATCTTGTTCAGCGCAACAAAAACACCCCAAAGCCCTGGCTAGTGGCTCGATTGGTTGAATTGTTGTCCAGTACACCAAAAGGTTGTTTGTGGGTTCATTCCCCTTTCCGGGGTGCAAACAGGAGGGAACCGAGTGATGTTTCCCTCTCCTTCTCTCTCTAAAATAAATAAAAATATATCCTTGGGTGAGGATTTAAAAAACAACAACACCCCTACAGCAGCAATCTCTGGTGGGAGAACACATTTCCATTCACAGGGATCTGCATTTTATGGTTTTGGAGAGGGGGTTGTGTTGGGGCATGGAGGTGGAACTTTTTTGTTTTTTTACATCTAAACAGTACATGAAGTATTACTGTAGTCTGTTTTCTGAGCTCATGGAAAAACTCAAGTCATGGAATGTTAATTTCGCAGATGAGCGAAGTTTTACAGCGAGATTGCCTGACTTGCCCCAAAGCCTGTAAATAATGCCAGAGGAAGAGCTGGACCGGGAAGGGCTCCCAGGCCTTACACACAAAGGGCATCTCCCTAAAACTGGAACACAGCCAGTGCTTTGGCGGGGGAACTTCTAGGCCTAGTTTGCATCTTTGTGAGCCTTCCCAGGGTCCTGTGTCTCATGTTGGAACAGAAAAATGTTTTGCTTTCAATCACTTACATGATCCTTTTCAGATAATTCCTTCTATAGTTGCTAAATTGTCATATCTTTTCAGTGACCTCTGTTCTGAAAAGCAATTCCTGGGGAGAGGCAACAACTCACATTCATTAGCCACTTTATTGGAATTATATCATGTAATGTATCGTAGAGTCCTTGGAGGGTAGGTTTTATTATCATCTCTATGAGGTAAGCAGCAGCTGAGGCTCAGAGGAGTTGAGCAACTTGCTCAGGGCCACACAGTTTGTAAGTAGCGGACTGGGATTTCAACCCAGGATGCCTGCCTCCCGAGCCTTCACACAATAGCTTTGTTATACCAATGCCATGGCCCAGATGAGGCTGGACCCAGTTGGGGGACCCATGGCCCTAAACCATCAAGCGAAGTTGCCAAAGGCTACTTCCACCCCTCGCAGTGCATTTCCTTCTCTGAAACTTCTTATCATTTCTTATCCTGCCCTTTGGGTCAGGACCACACCAATTTTATAAAGGGGCTGCGTTACAGCAGCTCAGACTTGGATGCCAATCCAAGGAAGCTGCTGTGCACTCAGACCTCAGCCCGGCCAATGCAATCTTCCTAACTCCTGACCAGAGGGTTCATCCATAACAACTTACTGAGTAGGGTCATTGCCAAAGACACCTCTCCCTTTGCATAATCACGGACTGAGCAAAAGTCAGCAGACAGGATTTGTTGATGTGGAAATCATCAGACTAGTGCTTCCTATCCTGTAATCTAGATTTTCTCCTTGAGGCTCCAGGAAAAAAAGAGAAAATGATGATAACATCACAATGAAGAAAAGGATCCTTAGATAAAGTGGACCTAATCTCAGGAGCCCAAACCTAGCCTACTGCAGCAGAAGAGGCATTCTCCTCTCTCAGAGTGGTTTTCAGGAAAATCCCAGAATTCCAGACTGAAGTCCTCACCAGCCAGCAGGATGAGCCCTATCTGGACAGAGAGACAGACAAAGGGAGCCCAGTGTGGAGCGGGGACAGCACTGGGTCTGGCTCCTGCAAGCAGAAGGGGAGACGGGGAGGACACCAGAGAAAAATCTGGCTCTCTACAAGGTCAAAACCACCCCCAGGACACCTAGCCTTCAATACAGACTATACAACCTGGAATCAGAATGTTCCAGAAAACTTTCTGTAGCATGTGGTCTTTGGATTCCTCAGTGCCAACCATAGCCTAGGAACCACTCAGTGAGAGGGTCCAGCTGGAACGCTCTGCCCCACCTGGCGATGATGGTGGCTCTATGGCATTCTACTCTCCTGTGGCCACTCTGGATCTCCCAGTACCTCTATCCCTCCAGGGTTCCTTCTCTGCCTTCCTTCAACCTCTCCAGATGGGTGTTCCCTGGGCTCTGACCTGCTACTCCTCCTCTTCCCCAGTGCTCTTTCTCCTCATTTCCAACACATGCTCTCCAGGGAGTTTGTCCAGTCCATGGCTTTAGCCACCACCTGCTAGTGTGGTGACTCGAATCTGCATCTCCAGTCCTCATACTCCCCTGACCTCCAGACCTTTGAAGGTAGCTTCCTCCTGGACTGACTTCCTGGAAATGCAGGATGCTCTCAGGTATGATGTGAACACACCTGCAGTCATGCCTCCCACCTGGCAGGCAGCCCAATGTGGACCTTCACCAGTGCCCAAATGCACCCAGTCTTCACAGGCTGTCTCTGACTCACCCTTCTTCCTTACCCTCCATGCACCAGGTTTCCAAGTCTAGCCAAGCCTACCACTGAACTCTCCCTGGAAACTGCTCCCTCCTCTTCACTCTCCCATCATCCCTCAAGCGAGGCCCTCCATGGCTTTTACTCCCTCAATACCTTGTCCCTCCACCAGCCCCCACACTCCTCTCCTGCTTCCTCCTCCCCCTCACTCTGATTACCCCTCTCTCTTTCCCTTGGTTTTGTCCAACTCCTTTCCCTCAGCATCCTAACATGTCCAAGCCTCTGTTGGTTCTGTCTCCCTCTAGTTTCCACCCTGGCTCTCCCCTTCCCTTCTCAGACAAACATTTTGAAAGACTCATCTATACTCTACATTTGCTGTTTCTCCGTGGCCCCATAATCTGGCTTCTGCCCACCTGCTCTCCCAGTGCCTATCATCTGAGGCACAGCAGATGCTCTTCGGAAAGACTTGCGTGCAGCATTGCCACCGACAGCTCCCTTCTCTGGGGCCCCACACTCCCCATTTCCTCCTGCTCTCCTGTCAGCACTCCCTCACTTCCTCGGTGGCTGCTCGCTGCCACACCTCCTCTCCATCATTTGTCATCACTGGCCTCTTGCTCCACATGCCCACCCCAAAGAATTTATCCACTCCCACAGTGTTGGCTTCTTACAGGCCAAAGACACTCCCCCATCCGATTCTTCACTCCAGATCTCTGGCTGGAGCTCCAGATCCTTATATATATTCAGCTGCCCATGGGACACTCCACATGGGTGAATCACAAGCCCCTCAAACTCAGCGTGTCCAAGCCACTTACTCTCTCCTGACCACACCTGTTCTATGTCCCTTAGTAAAAATGGTACCAACACCTACCAAGATGCCCATGCCAATAGCACCTTAGTAATCCTTGACTCCTCCCCCTCCCCCCATACCCTATGTGCAGTCTCCAAATTCGGTTGAGTTTGTTACCCCTAGACACCCCTCAGCTTGTCACTTCTCCTCATGCCCACCTCCATTACCATAGGTCAGACTCTCACAAGGGCCCCTCCTAGTCACTGGCCTCCCTGCCTCCAGTCTTGCCTTATTTTATTTTAGCTGATTCTCTCATGGCTTGCTCCCGACACTGATGGTATCACTTGCCTGCTTCTCCATCACCTGCAGGACTCTCAGCTTGGGTCTGGGCCCTGCAACACGGCTTCCCTCTACCCATAACTCTTCCACCCCTGCCTTTGCCAGCCCCAGGACTTGAGTTCCCTGAATGCACGCCTCATTTTGTTTGGCAAGCTCCTGAGCCTTCAGGCCTAAGCACAGGTGTCAAGGCCTGGGGCCTCCTCCAGGCTCCCAAGGCCCACGCTGCCCCTCTCCAGGGCACATGGTTGGGTGTCCTGCAGATCTCTGGACTGTGGAGAGGGGACAGACCCCATCCACTCACCCCTCTTTCTCTCCCCCAGGCTAGCAGAGCCAGGTAACTACCGGGTGGGTGGTTAATCTGTGCTTGGGTGAATCCTCTCTCCCCGTGACTATTTGTTTACTTGCTTTGGCCCCTCCAGGGCAGAGATCTTTGAAGAGAGAATGAGTGCACCAAGGTGACGGACCCCACCCTTCTCCAGGGCGGCCAAGACCGGCTTCCAGTCTAGCAAAACCTGCCCCACATTCTTTGGGCTTCGTTCCTTATCTCTCAGTTAACAAGCCTGGGAGAGAGGGGAGCTCCTGGAACCAGGAGCAAGTCTGCTGGGGGGAGTATTGTAGGGTTCAGTATGCCTCTCTGCCCACTCTGGGCAATGTTTTGTAGCCTCAAAACCCTGGAGGCTCTTTGAGGTCAGGTCCTGCGGGCTCCAGGAGCGGGGGAGGAGTGCGGAGAGGGAGCCTGGGACACAGCTGCCCCTCACTCCAGCCTCTCCTTTCCCAGGACCTGTAGCCTGGGTGCCAGGTAGCAGGTTAGGGGTGACGGGGTGTGGGGGAGGGGGGGGAGGAGAGGGGAGGGCTGGTCCGCCAGGAGAGTGAGCGGAGCCTCACAGCCCTGGCCAGCGAGCAGGGGGCGGGGCGGGGAGGCACCCGGGTTCCCGCCTTCACTCACCCGCCCGCCCGGCCTCCCGCCCCTCGCCGCCCGCTTATTAGCCGGACCCCGACCGGCGGAGGCGCTCGCACCGCCCGGCCAGCAAGCACTCCTGTCCTCTCGCTCCATGGCGCTCCTCCTGCGGCTGCTGCCCCTCGCCCTGGCGCTGGCCCTGGGTCCCCCGGCCGCGCAGGCGGGCCCCGCCAGGTCGCCCTACCAGCTGGTGCTGCAGCACAGCCGGCTCCGCGGCCGGCAGCACGGGTAAGCCGCCGCCCGCCGGGTGGAGGGACGGGCTGGGGACGCGCGGGACAAAGCCATCAGCGTGGGCGCTCCCTGGAGGCACCGGCCCGGCGCGAAGTGGGGAGAGGGAGCGGGCGGCGGAAGGAAAGCCCAGCAGAGGAAGGGGGTGGAAGAGCGGACCAGCGACCCCAGACCCAGGCAAGAGCATGAGATGCCCAACTCTGGCTTTTAGTTTCTGCTCCCAGCAAAGGAGAGAAAAATGGGAAGTTGGCCAGGGCAAAGCGTGTACCCATCAGTACACTATTCCCGTCCAGTCAGGCCCTTGGCCGGCACCTCCACCGGTGACACTGGGGCCACACACAGGCTGGTAGCATCCACGTCCCCGAGGTTCCTGCTCACCTGGCCGGGCCCTGTGCCCACCTCCTGGCGCCTGACAGCGCTCTCTGGGCACGGCTGGGGCAGTAAAGGCAGGGTGGCATCTCCTCCCCGCCAGATGAGCAGGAGAATCCCATGGCCTCACACACATTGTACAGATGGGGAAACTGAGTCCAGAGGGGGACACCACTTTCCCACGGTCCTGCGGTGTAAACTGGAACCAGGATTGGAATCTCTCTTAAAATAATAGCTAAGTTTGCAAATGTGTGGGACGTTGTCATTGCAGATATTCCTTAGGGGCATAGCTCATAAGAAGACGTTGTCTTAAGAAGGCAAACTCAGGCAGAGTCTGACCTGGTAAAGATCTTGGCATACCCAGGCGGAGGTGGGCAGTGTTTCTACTGGGTGGGCAGCATTCCCAAACCAGGCCATCCCGCTCACACATAGCGGGGCTTTGCTGCACCTTCCAGCCTGCCCGGTTGCGCCAACTCCTTTTTCACAGCTCGGTAAAACTCTGTGTGGATAGAGTCGTTGTGTTGTGTAGCGGCCCAAATGGCACTGGGTCCAGATATTTGCACGCAGGTAGTGACCAGACTGTCATGCGAAGTGACGAGGGGATCTGTAGTCAGATCAAAACTCACTGCTGGGGGCGATTAGCGTTGACTTTCTAGGACTTGGCAAAGCCTTGGCTCCCACCCAGGACTGCTCCGGGCTGGGTGTCATTTCCTTGTTACCTCTGCCCGTGGCCCTAGGCTCTGACTTGGCCTCTCAGGCGCCCAGGGCTGCAGGGAGGGAGGCTACTGGGAGGGAGTCCGGCCACTCTGCTGAGTGAGATCAAGCCAGGCCACGCCACAGACTCAGTGCCCTCGCAGGAAGAAGAGAGCACCAGGGGTCTTTCGGGAAGAGGCAGAAGCACCTTTGACTTAGGCTGGTTCAAAAGGATGAGGGGACAGGTCAGAAAGATGAGGGAGATGTAAGCCATAAAAGTCAAAAGGTGAGCACCTGGCATTTTCATTGTCTCTGCCCAGCTCACCTTTGTCCCTCTGCCTTTCTTGCAAGTGAAGGGTGCTGTAGTATCTGCCCAGGAGGTTTGTGTTCCTCTGTGTCTTAGCCACCGAGGAGAAGACCCCTATAATATACCCTGCGGCATTGCCCCCTAGAATGGTGTCTATGCACACCGCAGTGAAACTTCCCCAAAGGTGTTAATAGAGTTCCACCAAGAACCATTTGCATAGCAAACCTCCTAACCTGGAGTACAGAAGAGGCGCTAACCAGCCAGAAAACAGGATATCTTTTCAAATACAAATGTTCTTTATTATGGATTTCAGATATTAGATGGACTTCCTCTTCACCTTCCCACTCCCAATACCCCTTCAGGCTAATCCTGTGTGTTTTGTTGTTGTTGAGTGGACTGGATGGAAGGAGAGAGAGAGAGAGAGAGAGAGAGAGAGAGAGAGAGAGAGAGAGAGAGAAAGAGAGAGAGAGAGAGAGAGAGAGAGATATCAGATTGCCTCCTGCATATGCCATGATGGGGATTGAACCCACAACTTGGGTATGTGCCCTGAGAGAGAGAGAGAGGGAGGGAGAGAAAGAGAGAGAGAGAGATATCAGATTGCCTCCTGCATATGCCATGATGGGGATTGAACCCACAACTTGGGTATGTGCCCTGGCTGGGAATCATACCTGCCACCTTTCAGTGTATGGGACGGTGCTCCAACTAACTAAGCCACGCAGCCAGGGCCAGGCTAATCCTCCTGATTAGCCTCTTGCTGTGCGGTTGGAAAGGCCTGTGGTGATCTGTGTTGGGCAGAATGGTCTAAGCAGGCACACGAACACCCCTCCCCCAGTAAAGTCTGCATGCACAGGTAAATACTGTGACAGAATGGTTGCAGGTGCAATTGCCTTTACTCTGATCTAACTGTCCCTGAAAATACCGCAGGGCTGCCTGCCTGGCCGATGGGCGTGGCACCTGTGTGAAATGGATAACCTTTATTCAAAGTGAAAACTGGTGAAAAGGGAAGAAAAACCTCTTTGCTAGCTTAAGGAACTAAAGTGTGCTCCAAGATGTGAAAGAAAAAGAAAAAAGAAAAAAAAAAAAAAAAACCAATGAGGGTGCCTTGCTGGTGTGCTGCCCTGTATTACCTGTCACCAGCATTGCACCTTCTGGTCGTGTTCCTGTCTTACAGATGGAGAGACTGCAGCTTAGTGAGATGGAATGACTTAGTCCAAACACAGAAAGCTGGTGGGAGAGTAGTGGCTAGGATGTGGTCTCTTCACTCCCAGTTGCATCTGGGTTGCTATGGGGAAGAAAGAGTTACTGAAAGAGAAGTAAAAATGCAATCCTACTTCCCAATATCACCAACCAAAACGGGACTGAATTTCCTGAGGATTTCAAGTCCAAGTTGAAGAGCAGAGCTGCTGTGCAACTTGGACTTGAAGGCTGAAGGTCCAGAAGTGGCTTGCCCTCTTTGGTTACACTTCAGCATCAATTCCCTGTGCACAGCCCACCCCTCTCACCCTGATGTGGGGGGAAGATGGAGTCACAGCCACCCCCAGCCTCTGCTCCTGTCTCAAAAGGCGGCAGCGGTGGGAAGTCACTCAGGGGAATGTTGGAGCCACATCCACAAGAGGCTCAATGAAGATTTGCCAGACGCCTACGGAAAGTTGCAGGGAATTGGACAGTAATTGTTTCCTGCCTGGTCAGATAAAAGAACTTCTGAGTTGGTACACCTAGGGCTGGAGTGGGGCCAGCAGGCACTCTCCAGGGGTTATCTGGGGACTGCTGTCACCTGTGAGTCCCAGGCAGCAAGCAGAAGCAGGGTGACCTCTTGTTAAAATCCTCTGGGAGCTGCAGGCATTTGGCCCAAAACAGGTAGGCCTAAGGGGTCATGGGCTCTTCTCCCTGCAAGCCTGTGGTTTCCTCTCCAGGCTTATCTTTGGCTTACTCACCTTTGCTTCCTGAACCACAACCTGGACAAGAGGTGGCAGCCACCTGGGTGGAGAAATAAAGGGCCAGCCTGCTCTGTGGCCCAATAACTGGCAGTGGGTATTTGAGAACTGACCATGTTCTCATCAATGCCTTCCCAAAAGATACGGTGCATGTCTAATGATGCCTATTGGTTGCATTTTAATGCAACAGAGGAATTGATATGAAAGAATGATATCTGACCTTCTGTGGACACAGCGGTTATGGGAAAGCCCGCAGCCTCTTTGCTTTGCTTTCCTCTGACTTGGGTTCAGCCAGATGAACTGCCTGCCTCCAACTCAGGGAGGCCCCCTCCCAGTGGTCAACACCTCTGCCTTTTTCCCGGGAGCCTAAAGAGGCCCTGCTACTTACTGCGTGGCCTGCGCATGGTTTGGGTCGGGACTTGAGATGCTGGAATAAAATATACAAAACCAGAACCCCATGGCTCGGGGAAAGAAGGCTTCTCAGCAGAACCCAAGGGCATTAGCACATGAGTTTCTGAGGATCCTTCTGAATGGGTGGCCCTGGAGCGGTACCGGCAAACCTGGTTCTTAGATGCTTCTTCCCATTTCGAACAATTCTGTTTTCTTTCTTTTTATTTATTTGTTTATATATCTTATTGATTTTTTACAGAGAGGAAGAGAGAGGGATAGAGAGCTAGAAACATCAATGAGAGAGAATCATTGATCAGCTGCCTCTGGCACAACCCCCACTGGGGATGTGCCCACAACCAAGGTACATGCCCTTGATCAGAATCGAACCCGGAACCCTTTAGTCTGCAGGCCAAAGCTCTATCCACAGAGCCAAACCGATTTCGGCAACAATTCTGTTTTCTACCAAGTTGTTCACAGACAAAAAAAATGCTTCTGTTGTCAACCAAAACTTCAGTTTTCCACCTGACAGTCCTTCCAGGCTGATACCTCAGCATGACAAAAAGTCTCTCAGGCAACAAAGGAGAGCATGCTTTTGTTGCTAGAGAAATGGGTGATTAGCACAATTTTCACACAGAAAGAGGCCATCAAGAGTGCTAATGTTGCTAAAGGTGTGAAAGTGCCCACAAAACAACAATCACAGGCAATTGAAGAGGTAGAAAAACTCGTTGCTTGGTTAAATGAAAATTAGTTATAGCATTTCTGAGGCAGAAAAATTCCTTTAAGGCTAGTAAGGGGTGGTTCAATAAATTAGTACATTAGTCATGTATATAAGAAAGGTTAAAACAGAATCACTTGAAGGTCAATTTACATTATTTCTGATGGGAAAAAATGATGGCGTTTTCGAACAAATCGCTTCACAAACAGCCTTCTGGAGCAAATTAAGTTCGAGAAACAGGATTCCACTGTATTTTCATTCTGTCCATTCAAGTTCATTCCAAGCTGCTCTTTCACGCTGGCCTGGTGCTAGGCTCCATCTAGAACATAAAAGAAAGAATGAGGCAGAGCTCCTGCCTCAGGCTCTTTAAGGTAGTTGAAGAGAAAAGACATACACATGCTGCTCAGTTATAAGAGTCTGCGTGGTGCCCAGGGTCAAACAAGGGCTATATCTTCACATCTAGAATGTTCCAGGTCAGAGTTAGAAGAGTGTCACCGGAAGATGGCGTTTGGGAGGAAGTGAGAATGGAGCTGGGGTCTAAGCATGAATGACAGAGTTCAGTGGGAGAGCGTCTTGTGCCAAGGTCCCCACAGCAGCCAGCTGTGCCCTCTAGTTTCCAGGGTGACACAGGCCTAGTGAGGCAGAGGAAGTGTGTGGTGCTGCCTGGGAGGTGTTGGGACCGGGACCAGGGCCACTGGGCCACTGGGATGACAGGTTAGAGCACGGGTCAGTGGGTGGAGATGGAGAGAAAGGCGGGGGGCTTCTCTAGACGTTGCTTTATTTATTTAGCAAATCCACAGCTTTCACTTAGCCGGTTATCTCCATTGGTAACAGGCAATCTAAAAACATTTAAGCCAAAACCGGTTTGGCTCAGTGGTAGAGCATCGGTCTGCGGACTGAAGGGTCCCGGGTTCGATTCTGGTCAAGGGCATGTACCTTGGTTGCGGGCACATCCCGGTAGGGGGTGTGCAAGAGGCAGCTGGTCGATGTTACTCTCTCATCGACGTTTCTAGCTCTCTATCTCTCTCCTTTCCTCTCTGTAAAAAATCAATAAAATATATAATAAAATAAAATAAAATAAATAAAAACATTAAAGATGCTTTTACTTCCATGCACCCAATGTCCTTGTCAAAGAAAGATACTTACACGCAGAAGTCATGCCCATGTGCGATATACTTGAGCAATTTTTAATTTGGAGGGAAACTTCTAGGAAGCTGACGGAAACCTAGGTCAGGAGGATCAACGTCTGCCCCAAGCCACCGTCTGGTCCCCAGATTGAAATGACTGTATCGTCTCCATCTAGAATGTTCAAATGAGCCAGGAAGGCCCTCTGGGTGGGAAGGACATGGTGGCGGGGTGGACATGCTGACCGTCTTGCTAATGCCGCTACTGCTTTCTTTGCAGCCCCAACGTGTGTGCTGTGCAGAAGCTCATCGGCACCAACAAAAAGTACTTCACCAACTGCAAGCAGTGGTACCAGAGGAAAATCTGCGGCAAATCAACGTGAGTACCTGTACCCGCCCAAGACCACCAGCCACCATGGGGGCTGGGCTCCGTGGCCGCCAGTGGCAGGTTCCCTCAGCCCTGAGCCAGCCTCCTGAGAGGTCAGGCTGCCTAGGGAGCCTGGCAGATGCGTGTGCAAACGTGTCAGGGAACCGTGGGCTTGGGAGTGGCAGTGTTAGTAAGCCGGCCAGTTTTGTTTTGCATTTTTAAGGTTCCTGACAAGACTTGGATACATTTTTCAGGGCTGATCTGAGATTACAAGGAGCATGTATGTGTGTGCGTGTAAGTTTTTTAATCCTCACTAAATGATACAAATATTATCGTTATGGAGATGACACCAGCCTGTGGTGGATTTATGTATTCCTCCTGCTCTGAGGTAAACACCCAGGAAAGACTTAAAGCACCTAGAAATATGCAATTATGCGTCAGCATAGCATCTTTTTAAAATATATATATATATATATATATATATATATATATATATATATATATTTTTTTTTTTTTTTACTGATTTCAGATAAGAAGGGAAAGGGGGAGAGAGATAGGAACATCAGTGGTGAGAGATAATCATTGATCAGCTGCCTCCTGCACTACTGGGGATCAAGCCCACAGCCGGGCATGTGCCCCTAACCAGAATCGAACCCTGGACCCTTCAATCTGCAGGCCGATGCTCTGTCCACTGAGCCAAACCGGCTAGGGTGTATCTTAAGAATATAGGCTCAGCCTCCCTAATTCAAACCCTGGCTTTGCCATTTCCCTGTTTCCAAGTTGCTTTACTTTGGAGCCCTCAGTTCCCTCCTCTGTGAAATGGAAATAACAGTAGGAAGACCTTATGGGATTACAGGAGGATTGAATGAAGTAATGCATGTGAGAGGCTATCTGCTATTCTTATTACCCCTAGAACTTGCAAATCTAGGCCACACAAACAGAAGTGAGAGTGCCAGTGGGGTGTGGACCGATGTCAGCGTGCAGGGAGGCACATGCACCCAGCCACCTGCTGCCTGGTGGGAACGGGGCGGCGTGCATGTTCTAACAGAATTTCGTGGAAACCTAATCTATGTTGGCGCCGACTTGTCAACAGAGCTCAAAGCTGGCTCTCTCCTGCAGACAGGAAGAGGTGCTGTGTGAAACCTCCTGAGCCACCTGGGAGGGCCTGACCCTCCTCTTGTCTTATAAGAGAAGGATTATGAGACTCTAAGCTACTATCTTGAACCCCTTCCCATGTTGGGTGTTTCTTTTTTAAGTATTGTTCGTGATATTGCTTCGGAGCAGATATCTCCTCCGGTTTCATAACCGACTGAAGGAAGGGAAAATGCTCTTCCTTTAAAATGGAAATGAATATCCCAACTGTGATCCTTATTATGTTAGTCCGTCCTCCTATGAATCAAGGGTGTTAGGGGAGAAGCCAGCAGCCCCCTGGGAGCCTGTGGAGGTCAGGTCCGGGACAGTGGGCTCCCACCTGACCAAGCCCAGCTTCAAAGCTGAGGGTTGAGTGAGCTAAGAGGACACACCTTCAGGGTTCAGTGAACAAACACCCAGGGATAATCCTTCTGCTATGGACAAAAGAGATTATGCAAATGATGGACCACACATCCTTTCATGGTACTCAAGTTAAAAGAGAGAGAGAGAGAGAGAGAGAGAGAGAGAGAGAGAGAGAGCGCGCGCGAAAACCTTTAGTACTCCGATTTTTCCCATGTGTGTACTTATCTGCTTAAATAAACAGTTAATTACTCAACACCAAGCCAAGCCCCATATAATTGCTTCTTGGAAGGTGACCAGAGCATCTGTACCAAGCACACAGCTCTTCAGCATGTCAGAGTCTGAGCTTCAGAGAGCTCTGCCTTTGTGTCTGTACCAGTTTCCCTAAAAATGGAAATGTGATGTCAAGCTGGCAGCAGGGTGGCATCGGCCCTGGCTGTGTTGAGGCGTTTGCCTGAATAGTTAACAGCAGACTGAGAATGTTCCCTGGCAGTTCCCAGGCGGACACTGCTGTTGCTGGTGAGTGGCCTTGGCTCACTGGCCCTTGTACCTGAGTCCTTCTCAGTCCGTGTGCCAGGACGAGGCACAGGTGGCACAGTGGTGTGCTGGCCAGTGTCCTGATGACCCAGTTTTCCCCTCTGGGCAGGTTAGGCTTTGAGTGTGGCCACGTGATGGTGCAGTCACCTCACAGCAGTGAGGGCAGGGCATCCTGGGCACTGGAAAAGGGAATAGGTGGGTGGGGTGTGGGTGCAGAAAACAAGGTATACAGTGGAGTCAAGCAGAGCCCAGGGGCAGGCCCAGCCATCAGCCTGGCCTTACAACACCGGAGGGGACAATATGTACTTTCAACTTGTCAGTGTGGCCTTTGCTCCAGGCAGCTTCAAAAGAGGAAATGGGGATAGAAAATCATGAGTTGATATAAAACTTCATGATCTGGGGTAAGAGGGTCCCTTCCTGGAACACTATGTGCATGTCAGGAAGGTGGAGCTGAGCTGGGAGAGGTCCAGGGAACCCGGGGAGGGAACGAAGAAGCAGCTGAACTTATCTCCGTTGTCCCTAGGAGAGCTGAGAAAGATCAGCCTCACCATTCGCTGGTGTGCCCTGGACCGAGGCCCCGGTCAGAGCAACCGTCTGGTCCCCAGGAATTAAGTGCTAGGGGTGGTCAGGAAGGGAGGGAGAGAGAGCTGTGCTGGCTGGAGTTGATGTCCTCCAGGTGAAAATGGGTCCCTAAGCACATTTATGTGGGTGAGGACCAGACTGGTACATGGGGAGTAGGGAGGTGGTTGGACAGAGGCCTATCTCAGTGGGGGGCAAATTTGGGCAGTGGGAACTTTCTCAGCAAGACCCCAGGGAGAAGGCTGGAGCAAGAAGTGTATATTGGGGTGAAAGGGTGCAAAGTGTCATAGGGAAGGAGATAGCACAGGCCACCAAGAGGCCCAAGACCAAGGAGAACTTGACCTTGAAAACAGATAAGCAGCACCAAGCGCAGGGTGGGGAGTTTGTGAAGACTTTGTAATGTCAGGTCACACAGAGACCCAGGGAACCTGGAGCCACCTCCATGGAGGGAGGGAGGGTACTGGCCACACTAAGCACGCTTCTCAGGGAACATGACTTCGTTCCCAGACAATAACTTTCCTGCATTTGCTAAAAGAGAAGAACCAGAGTCTTCGGTGCTATTTGTCAAGCCAGCATATGGCTTTTATTACAGGAAGCGGTTACCAGTGGGCCTCTGTTTAGTAACTTGAGTGAATTTTATTGCTTGGAGATTTAAGTTAGCTTTTATTTCAGACCCTAAAGAGCACCAGAGTAATACAATAGCTAACCAGACAAAGAGAATTATGAGGGAGACGGCATCCCACTCTGATTTTAGGCTCCAGTCTGATCAGCAAACCGTAAAATTTTTACATGCAGCAGCTTGAGCGGTGGTGCAGGAAATTGTGGTCAGGAAGCCTCCCTGCCTCTCAACAGGACTCCTTTGTGCAAACCCTGGTGAGAGGGAGGCCTCGTTAGCAGCCAAGTCGGGGTTGACATCATGAGACTGTAGCAGTCATTGCAGGAGCTCAGACATCATAAACGTGGCTCCGGGAGGCCGGTGGAAGCTGGCAGGTTGGAATGGCAGCTGTCCGTTCCAAAAGTCTTGAAGTTGTTCCACAAGCAACACATCTCACGAGCACAAAAGCCCTCCTCCAGAGCCAAGATGAGCTGGCAGGACACCCCCTTTCTCTAGTAGCAAGCAGTGCTGTGTTTTGCCCAGGGGCTGAAATATTAATACTTCTTCAGCGCTGCATTAAAGCTTAGAAATGTGTCCCTGCCAAGACCAGTTTTGCTCAGTGAATAGAGCATCAGCCTGCAGACTGAAAGGTCCCAGGTTCGATTCCGGTCAAGGGCATGTTCCTTGGTTGTGGACACATCCCCAGTAGGGGGTGTGCAAGAGGCAGCTGATCCATGATTCTCTCTCATCAATGTTTCTAATTCTCTCTCTCTCTTCCTCTCTGTAAAAAATCAATAAAATATATAAAAAATAAATGAATAAATAAATAAATAAAAAGAAATATGTCCCTTACAAAGCCAGCCAGTGTATGGTTGAGCTTTCATCGGCTGGCAGGGCGATTTTCAGGAGCTCTCATTGAGATGGGGCAGCCAGAAACATTACAGTGACACTGAAGAAGAGCCCTCCTTGGCCTCCCTTTCCTGTATCTCACAACCTTGGTCACACGAGGAATAAGAAGAGGATGGTGAGAAGCTATCTAGGGAAGACAGGCTGTCCCCAGACACACACCAGCACCTCCTTTCCTAATTCATATTCCCTGTCCAGCCAGCTGGGACTCATGGGAAATCTGCTCCAAAGTAGCTGAGATTTGTTGTACACCCAACACCGAGGGTTGTCGTACACCAAACACCTCTGTTAGGCAGGGCTTCCTGGAGGTTCTGTCCCATCTGGAAACTCATAGGAGGCAGCTTAGCTGACATGGAATTTTGTTCCGTTGAGTATTTTGGTGAATCTATACACCATCTGGGGAATGGCCCTGTGGTGGGCAGAATAATGACTCCCTACAGATCTCCTCATCCTAATCTCTGAACCTGTGAACATGTTCCCTTACAAGGAAAAAGAAACTTTGTAGATATGATTAAATTAAGGGTCTTGAGAGAGGAGATTATCCAGGATTGTCAGAAGAGTCCAGGGATCCTTACAAGAGGGAGGCAGGAGGGTCAGAGTCAGAGAAGGACATCTGACAATGCAAACTGAAGCTGGAGTGATGTGGCCACAAGCCAAGAAATACAAGTAGCCTCCAGAAGCTGGAAAAGATAAGGGATGGGTTCTTCCCTAGAGCCTCTAGGAGGAATGCAGCCTTTGATTTTAGCCTGATAAGGCCAATTTCTGACGTTAACATCCAGAGCTGTACGATAATAAATTTGTGTTTTTATAAGCTACTAAAATTGTGATAATGTGTTGCAGCAACAATGAGAAAATAATACAGACCCTAACTGTTGAGTCATACAGATGTGTTATGAGAGATTTATTATAACATGATTTGATCAGTGGTCTCAGGTAGGACTCATGAGGTTATTAATCTAACTTCAATTTTAAAGTGTATACCTGGAGTTTTTTTTAGAAGAAGCTCAACAACTGGGCACTTAGTACCTATCAAGCCTCGTTAAGTGACTTTCTTATCATTCAGTTCACACAACTGCCCTATCAGATCATATGGGGAGACTGAGGCTCAGAAAGCCTAAGGAGCCCGCTCAAAGTCACCTGCTAGTAAGTGGGGAGGTCTGCTACTCTGCTTTCCTGCCCCAGGGAGAATAAGCTAGTGGTTAATGTCAGTGATCCACGAGTGAGCAGCCCTAAAGGGCCTGGGTGAACTGCCCCAGATTTCTCTCTTCAGCTTTGAACCCTAGGGGGAAAGGCCTTCTCAGGGTCAGCAGAGGCCATTTGGCCAAGAGTTACCAACTTTCTCCTGGTTGCTCACCCCTAGTCTGGTATCATTCTGATCCCCTGCTTTGAGGGGCCTCCCCAACACCCCTGGTGAGATGATGAAGGGCATGGGAACTGAGGAGACATGGTCACCATCCAGAAGCCCCAAAACGGCCTCCCAAACACACAGATTCCCACAAGAAAATAACTACATTTTCTGAAGACAGTCTCAACACTAACCAGGCTACACCTGGTGAATGGGGTAGTGGTGAGGTCTTTGGGGATGGACCTTATGTTAAAACAAGCTCTTTTTCACCAGCTTTCAAGAAAGCTCAGCTGAGTTTCCCAGGCCAGCAGGGCAGAAGCACGCCGCTCCAGGCAGCCCGGCTGCAGGGCATGTTGGATGTCTAGACAATGCTGGTCTGTGTTTGCTCTGGGATCCCTCTCGGAAATCATGACGCACTGAATGGTTTACCTTCTGTCACAGGAAACCGGCTCTCGGGCTCCGTTCCTTGCTCCACCTACATCCAGGGGCTAGTCCATCTCTAGGGTATTTACAGCCACGGCAGACAGCCAAAAGCATGAAGCATACTTGGGAGAGAGTGATTGTTTTAGCTTATTACGTTAACTTCTCCGAAGATTATTTAGGGAGAAAAACACCAATAATTCTTTCTTAATCCAATCACGAGTAAACATTTTGGAGGGGGCTGAACGAGGGCTTCCCACAAATCTCTGTTCTTAGACCTTAGATTGACACTACCCATCCATGGCTTGTTTTTACCCTCCCCCAAATGCCCTTTTAAATCAGACAGCTTCCCTCACTTTCTTCCTCAAATTGTTCTTCTGACCAGGGAAGCTGGAACAACAACAACAACAACAACAAAAAATGAGTGTCTCCTGCCTTTTCTGATCTAAGGTTTTTACTTACTGGACTGTGTCAGGTCAAGGAGAGCGAGGAGCCTTTAATTAGAACAGCTTTTGCTGATGAGGTTCACTTCAAAGGCCAACCAATTGGTCCTCTCTACACAGAGAAGCTCATGATCTAGCAGTTTCCAAACTTTTGACATATGCATACCCCTTCTATTATTTATGTAACGCTGAGTACCCCTCGTACTCATGAGAACGTAGATTAGGCACAGCTAAGCACGGTGCAGTGCATACCCCCACCAAACTCTTCCCGTACCCCTGGGGGTACCCGTACCACACTTTGGGAAACACTGATCTAGGGAGACATAGATGATGGGGATTCCCCATCATCCTTTGCTGCCTTCATCCTAGAGAGGTGGCATCAGGCCCATGTCCCTGTGGTTGTCCCCAGCCCCATCTCCCCACAGCATGTGTATTCTCTCTATTCTCTCCAGGGCCAGAAAACAGAGACTGCTTGTCCAGAAAGATTTAGTCAAGATTGTCTCAATGGACCATCTTCAGTTTCCAGCTGCTCTGCTTCTCTGGGCCAAGCAGACAGGCTCTGAGGAGAGATGGTATTGTTGGGGCAGCTGAGAGCAGGGAAACTGCCAGCTGTGGCAGATCTCAACCTCAGGGCTGCCAGGCTCAGGCTGAGAGGTACGGCTGACACCTGCTCACCTAGAGAGTGCCTGGATGCCAGACTGGGCAGCAGGAGGGCCGTGGAGGGAGAGGGAGAGGTCAGCAGGTGAGAGGATTAGGAGAAAGCTGTCTGGTAGAAAACCAGGAAAAAGCCTTCAGCTGGGGGACTGAGCCCCTGCTGGGCATAGTGTGGCACCCACACCTGGCTGCTGGGGAACATGGGTGCAGAAAGCCCACCTGGATGGGTTCAGTGAGTGAGGACAAGGCTTAGCTCTGACCACATTGGAGAGAAACCTGTGTCCTCTCAGAGTTAAACTTTCCAAATCAGTCAGCTTTCCCCAAAAGATGTGCTTTGTCAAGAGCAATGGAAGAAGAATTGAAAACCCCTCTGTGCCTCAGAGTCCTTGCAGCTTTCTGATTCCACCTCTGTATCCTTCTGCAGGCTGAGACTTTCTGGCTTAGATCCGTCCCTCCTCCCCAGCCCCGTTTCTCCTGTCATTCTCACCATTTCCCCCACCCGCACAGACGTTTGTCCACAGGAACCAGTTTACACTTGGGCAGTTGGTTTTCTTTTATCCTCAGTGAATTCCTGATGAAGTCACCTGAGCCGTTGATCTCTCTTGTGGTTTTTTTGGGGATGGAACTCAGGTGCTAACACCCTGGGAGAAGAGTCATTGGTGAGTCCCATGGCTCACAGGGGCCAGCGTGGCTGGGCTCCAGGGCATGGCGTGTGAATAGAAGGGTCCCAGGGAGAAGGAAGGCTTTGAAGAGAAGACTCGTCCTCCAGTTGTGCTTTTCCAAGGTCATGGAATGTTACCCAGGCACTTTTGCAAGGAACTGAACTTTGGCAGGCTTCGCCTAACCCTAACCCTGTACCCCAGAAGAGAACCCTGGTATTTATCACAGAAAGCGGGAGATCCCACGCATGGGTGTCCCCTGGTCCTGTGGGATCAAGGCTTGGAGCTCTCCCTAGGGTTAGCTGGGAAAAGCTGGCACTCTCCTTCTTTGAAATAGAGTTTTCTTCCTCTTAGAGCAGTGATCGGCAAACTGCGGCTCAAGAGCCACATGAGGCTCTTTGGCCTCTGAGTTTTTAGCAAAGGCCAGCTTAGGAGTTCCCTAATTAAGTTAATAACAATGTACCTACCTATGTAATTTAAATTTAAAAAATTTGGCTCTCAAAAGAAATTTCAATCTTGTACTGTTGATATTTGGCTCTGTTGACTAATAAGTTTGCCGACCACAGGCCTAGAATTAATCCCATTGACCAGAATTGTGAATGTGAAATTGTGAAGAACCTTAGAGATCATCTAGTTTAACTTCATCCCATTTTATAGATCAGAAAACTGAGACCGAGAGAGAATGGACTTTCAGTGTCATCTTGGTAGTTACTGATGGGTCACACAACAATTCTAATTCTTATACTTATTCTGTTGCACCACACTGTCTTTGAGAGGTTGAGTAGTCATCAAATTTTACTTTAGGTATTAAAAATAAATTTGTGGATTGGCCAAGCTGAGTCCTGAGACCACCAGCCTGGTTAGCCTTATACGTGTAGGGATGACAGATTAGAGAGGAACAGGATTAGAGGAGGGCCAGAGAAAAGAGGGAGGAGAGAGGCAGAAAGATGGAGAGAACAGGACAAAGAAGAATGTGCATGGTTTGTCACCTCAGCCATACCCTGAGGGTTGGCGGGGAGCATTTCTGGCCAATGACGCCTGTAGCTCCCCAGCAGCCTGAGAATCCTAGCCAGTCCGTCTCTGAAACACCACCTTGGATAACAGATGAATGTGACTCATCAGGGCTTTCCTGAGCTGACTCCAGGGGATTAATCAGAGCAGAATGTATGGGCTCTTTGAAAGCACCCGCCCCCACCGCAAGCCCTGTTTCTTTCCGATCTGCCTGCTTCTCTTCTGATGACGTCATCAAACAGCCCCCGAGAGAGTGGCGAGCTGTTCTGTGGAAAGTCCAGTCTAAGTCCTCTACTGTCCCCACGGGAGGGGCAGGACATGGCTGTTTGCCTCTAGTTCCGGGCTGTCTAGGAGGCCTGTGCCCACACTGCCAGTGCAGGGGTGGCCTGAGGCAGCACTGGGGCATTTGATGTGAAGCAAGTCTTTCAGGTGTGGGCTTTTAGAACAGCGACTTCCCTGCAATGATATTTGAAGTCCTTGGGCCTTCCCCAGAATGCCAGGTTAGTTGAAGCTCTGATTCAGACCTCGGGAAGGACGAAAATATTCCAAGACGGACTGGTCTGAGTTAGCACAAGAGAAAGTTTGAAGTTTCTCTGCCAAATGATTTCAACATGTAAAACTGTATACTGCCCGTCTTGTTCCTCCAAATACAAGGAGACTTGCAAACTGGCAATATTGCTCACCTCCTGGAAGGTTGATGGGATTGTCAATTAAAATTTGGTTTTTAATTTAAATTAAAAAAAAAACACATCTTGGTAATAGGAGCTTTGTTTTTATAATTTTAAAAGTTTGATTGTAAAGACTGAGAACAACTTGATCATATACATGCTATCCTTTTGGTTATTGAATGGAGAGCTAGAAGGCAATGAGAGATTTAATCCAATGACCCTCACATGACACACACAGTTTCCACAGATGAGGAAACTGAGTCCCAGAGATGAGGCGGGGCTGCCTGGAGAGGTCCAGGGCTCTTCCTGCTCTTCCCCGCGGCCTCTCGGGAACTGCCGGGTCCCCAGGAATTACACTGGAGATATAAGCTCTTGGTATATTCAGATCCCACTGTTGAATGTGCTGCCACAGTCCCCTGACCAGTTCCAGGCGGTAGACTTCTTGGTGCCGTCAGGAATATTCTGCAAAGCCGAGGAGGAGTGACACGTTCCCTTGCCAATGAAAGGCACAGACATGATAGTTGAACAATTCCTCTGTGAGCAGGATGTTTACCCGCCATTTCCCTTCCTCACTGGTGGAGACCATTCTTCCAGGAGAGAGGACGGTTGGCCTGTGAGGAGGAGGGGAGCCCTGCTAATACTGCATTTGTATGTCTCATTGCAGAGTCATCAGCTACGAGTGCTGTCCTGGATATGAAAAGGTCCCTGGAGAGAAGGGCTGCCCAGCAGGTGAATAAGTCAGGCCTTGCCTGTTGGTGCAGATGGAGGCAGCAGAGCCTGAGTGGGGGTTGGAAGGATGAGCTGTGTGGACTTTTCCCCTCCCCCCCATGTGCTCTCTGGCCTCTAGGCTCCATAAGGGCGAGAAGGTGGAAGCTGGAAACTGAAGTTTCCTACTATTCCCGCCTATTTGAGATGATCCTCTCGACAAGAGGGTGGAACAGACTACAGTTCTGACCACCTATCCGTGCTCTTCTCAGGCTCCTGGCCTTACTGGTCGTGGGCTGGGAGTGATTCTAACACAGTCAGCACTTCTGTCCGGTGCTGCTAGAGAGCACACGTGGGCTGGGAGCGCCCCGCCACCTCCACCTCGCTCTGTGGAAACTTGGCCCATCGGAGGAGAGTGGCAGTCCAGACGGGCCTGTCCACACTCAACAAAAGTGCCACGAATGGCCACATGAGGCCAAGGACTGCGTGTTCCTGTGAATTTCATCAGAGCCTTCCTTTTAGTTCCATACACACTAGGGATGATACAGAGGATACTTTTTTCAAACTTTGAAATATATGCTATTTTATTAGTTGAGAATGTGAGACAGATTTAAAAGGAAGGGGACAATTTGGTTGGTGCCAGTATCACAAGGAAGGCGTGGTTGGCATGGTCTGGGCCATGGCATTCCTGTCCTGAGTGGAAGGGCAGGCGGGGAATATGGAATGGGAAAGGAGCGAGGCTTCGGAAGGGCAGCTCAACCTCGAGCCTCAGCTTCATGCCCTGTGAAATGAACATTACGCTCCCTGCGTGAGGCCAAGCCCCCCCTAAGCTACTTGTAAATACACAAAGTACCTCGAAGACTTACAGAGTTAACTTTCATTCTGGGAACCAGTTTCAACACCTAGATAAATCTGTCAGACTCGTTTGTAATTAGGATCTCTATTTCTGGTGTACCAGTACATATCTGCCTGTATTATCTAAATGCCTGTGAACTACAGCTTTGCTTTGCTCTGCTGTGGTTAAAATGATAAAAAAAAATTTTTTTTTAAAATTGCCAATCGGTTGAGTTCAAGTAGGGAAGCATTTGACCGAGTTGTTTTAAGAAGCATGGGAAAGCTTCAGCCCCGCTCTGAGCTATCCCCTCCCTCCACCCTCATCCCTGCCCCAGCAACCACCGGTTGGCTGGCTCCGGGCCTGCCCACACACTCCTGCAGATGTGTGTCCTCTATGGACAGGGAAGGTGTGGTCAGGTGGGGGTGGCCTCCCAGGCTCATCCCTCCTCTGTCCTCTGCCCCTGCAGCCCTACCGCTCTCCAACCTTTACGAGACACTGGGAGTCGTTGGATCAACCACCACTCAGCTGTACACGGACCGCACAGAGAAACTGAGGCCCGAGATGGAAGGACCTGGCAGCTTCACCATCTTTGCCCCCAGCAACGAGGCCTGGGCTTCCTTGTCAGCTGTGAGATGACCTCCTCTGCCCAGGGGACTCTTCCTGGGGCTGCCTTATTCCCCAGGGGGGTGGGCTGGTGGGCATGAAGGATGAGATTCTGTAGTGATTTCAGGAACATTTTCTCTTAGCCCTCAGACAAAGCCAGGGAACTTGAGCTAAAATATACCAGGTTGCTGCCAACCGGACAGGCAGACCTCAGTGTTCGCTGAGGAGGTGTCCTTGGCCAAATGGGGGTCTGGGTCACTGGGGTTTCAGAGCATCTTTGCCAGGATAGCAGTGACCCATCTGTTGAACATGGGGTCTGCAGCCCCCTAACTGTCACACTGACCTTCTAGGAAGTGCTGGACTCCCTGGTGAGCAATGTCAACATCGAGCTGCTCAACGCCCTTCGCTACCACATGGTGAACAGACGGGTCCTGACGGACGAGCTGAAACACGGCACGGCCCTCACCTCCATGTACCAGAACTCGGACATCCAAATCCACCACTATCCCAACGGGGTAGGCAGCCCCGTTACAAGATTTCCTTGTGCCCACCCTGAGCTCACTCCTGGTCCACACGGGGTCTGCCTTCTGAGGTTTGGTCCCACAGGTGCCGTGGCTGCAGGTGATCCTCTGCCTCCTGCACCTGCTTTTTCTCGGGCCTCTGGTTCCACAGCTTGTGGAACACCATCCTGTGCTGTGTCTTCCCCGCCTGGGGCTTCGAGACTGTGCCTCTGATGTGTTAACTGCTCATCCTCACTCCTTCTCTGGGCAGATTGTGACCGTCAACTGTGCCCGGCTGCTGAAGGCTGACCACCATGCAACCAACGGGGTGGTGCACCTCATTGACAGGGTCATCTCCACCATCAGCAACAACATCCAGCAGATCATCGAGATCGAGGACACCTTTGAGACCCTTCGGGTGAGGGACTGCCCTGGGAGGGGGCCCAGAGGCAGCGGGAGGAGCAGGGGCATCTCCATGTTCACGGGCATGCAGCGGACATGGAGCAAGTTTTTCTAAACACCGTGAACATGGGGAATCTCCTAATTAGACCCAGCTTGGCCACAGGAAACATCAAAACTGCCTGCTGTCAATTCCCCCAGCCTGTCTTCTCCTTTGTGAAGCCTTCCTTTCCTTGGCTTCCCCAGGAAGTTCAGTGGTTTGTGCCCACAGCAGGACAGGGTCCTCTGAGCTGCCAGGGCCTGCGCTGTGGGTTCCAGAGGTGGGAGGGTTCTTCCTCCCGGGTGATGCCTCCCACCTGTGGGTTTAGAATAAATGGCCTGTTGGGCTGCATGGACTTCTTGACCACAGGTCCCCCCCATGAACCCTGCTCCAGCCATAGCCATGTTTCCTTGGAGCCCAGGCCAGCAGGAGGGGGCCATGGAACCCTGTCCTTCCCCACTGCCCAGAAGACTTACAACTGGAGTGGCAGGCGGGCGTTCCTCTTGGCAACGCTGCTCAAAGGAAGTGAACACAGGCTGCCCTGTCAGGGTTTTTGCCCTGATTCAAGGAGAACTTCCTGACCACAATGGACACGGGGTGGGACTGGGGTGGCTTCTCCCCTGGAGATCTCCAACACACAGAGAAAACACCCCGGCTGCACTGGGGTGGCCTCAGGAAGTGGCTCTGGAGGGCCCTGCTGTCTAAGCTCTTCCCCTGATTTCCTTCCGGGTCATTCAGAGGTCAGGAGCCTGCACAGGAATGATGTTCTCACAGAGTGGGAGTCACATTTGGCGGGATGGGGGTGTGTGGGGGGGAGACATCTTTTGATTAACATCAGTTGATCCCCACCAAGTGATCTCTTCTTACTGTTTATGTTTGTCAAATATTCCTTCTTAGCTTCTTCCTAACACCTATTTTTCCTTCTGCAAACACATACTTAGTTAAGCACCTGCTGCTTCCCAGGCATTGTTCTGTGTGACAAGGGTAGAGTGGTGAACAAGATATACAGATTTCTGTCCTCAGTGGCATGTATGGCCTTTCTGGAGAGACAGACAAGAAACAAACAAGGTTTCCACAGATTGAGGGAAGTGTGTGGTCAGTAAGTGGTGAGCAGAGGAGGCCAGTTGGGACTGGATGGTCAGGAAAGGTCTCTCTGGAAGAGGTGACTTTTCAGTTGAGGCCTGAAAAAGAGAACAGCCAGTTATCCAAAATGCAGTTCAGACCTGGTCGGTGTGGCTCAGTTGGTTGAGCAGCATCTCATGCACAGAAAGGACTGATTACCAGTCAGGTCACATGCCCAAGTCGCAGGCTCCATTACCTGATCTCTGATTGGGGTGCATGTGGGAGGAGGCCAGTTTATGTTTCTCTTTCACACTGATGTTTCTTTTTCTCTCCCTCTCCCTCTCTAAAATCAATAAAAACATATAGAGAGAGGGAAAGAAAACACAGCTTCAGAAGCACAGCGGGCAGAGGGGAGGGCAGAAGTAAAGAAATAAAGGCAAGCAGGAGGCCAGTGGGGTCAGAGTAAAGACAGCGAGGTAACCACAAGGTGAGGAGGCGTGGCCAGGTCAGCAGAGGCCAGCTCCTTCAAGGCCTTGCAGACCTTCATCCTGAGAGCCGTTCTAGCTGCTCTGTAGGTAATGGGTGATCTGAACCTTACACTCACAGTGCTCATACAATAATTATTACCAATAACTATTTCATTAAAACATGAGAAGGACAGCAAGCTGTGTAGGTATGTGTAACAGACTCATTTTCATTGGGCGCAGTGGTAGGGCGAGGTGAAGTGGGAGGCAATGTCACATTGACTGCTTAAAGAAATGACATTATAGTTGGGGCCTACAGAAGGAATAGGAGTCACAGAAAGCAAAGAGGGGAGGGCAGGGCCCAGGCTGGAGGTAGGAAGGGAGAAGGCACACGAAGTAACTGAGACATGGCCAGAGCGGCTGGGGTTCGGGCTGGGCAAGCTCCCCGAGGCCATGGCAGGAAGTGAGCTTTGATTTGGCCTTCCTTTTCATCTCGGGCTCCGAGGGAGGACTGGCGAGGCTGTGTGTGTCTCTTGTCTGCAGATATTCCCCGAGCCTTCAGGAAGCGCCCCATTCCCTCTCTTTCCCACAGGCTGCCGTGGCTGCATCGGGGCTCAACACCCTGCTGGAAGGTGATGGCCAGTTCACACTCTTGGCCCCCACCAATGAGGCCTTCGAGAAGATTCCTGCTGCGACCTTGAACCGGATCCTGGGAGACCCAGGGGCCCTGAAAGGTGAGCACTCTCAGTTCGTGTTGTCACCTGGGAGCAGCCACACTGAGCCCAAGGCCTGCTCTCATACTAGACAGACATGCGTCTGCCATCCTATCTCGTTGCTCCCAACCAGCCCTATCTCTGCAGTGGTCAGAGCAGAGCCCTGGCCAGAGGGGCACATATGGATCTGGCAGCTTTTGCATAAGGACACAGCTGGGCTGAGGAGGGAGGCAGAGCTGGAGGTCCAGGCCAGACTCTGGGAGAGTTAAAGGCCCAAATAATCAAAGTCAGAACAAGGCTGCCAGTTGGGCAGCAACTTGGTGATATCGGGAGGGGGCGGCAGGTCCTGGCACCCTTGAAAAGGAATCATCATGCTGACCCTTGAACTCTTCCTATGTCTGGCCAGGGGTGTCATAGATAATCGGGAATGGTAATTTAAAAACCAGTTAGAGTCGACTCTTGCCAGGTCCTTCCTCACCTTCTCAGTGAGCTCTGTGTTAGGGGGTGTACTAATTATTGCCGGAGGAGAGGGAAGGAACAAGCATGTGAGGAGATTAGGAGGGGAGGCCAGGCTCTATGCCCCCTTCAGCTCCAAGACCACCGAGCTGCTGCCTGCTGACCCCTGAGTCCCCTGCAGGGGGAGTCTGCCTCCCTCCCTCTGGGTACCCCAGGCACTCTTATTCCTTCCAGATATTCCCCAGGGACAACTTCATTTCTCTTGAGTTTATTCAAACCCACCTTTGGAATGAACTATATACAACGCCTGCTGCATTTCCGACAATCTGTAAAGCAAAGGGTTCTCCTTACAGCCATGCAGGGATGGGAACGGGCACACTGCTGAAAGCACAGACGAGGATCTACGTGGCCAGAGGTTGTGCTGCCTTTATGTGTCTGGCCAGAGCCAGGATTTAGGCCACAAAAGTAAACATGCTATAGCCTTTACCTTCAAGAAAGTGTAAATCCAGTGGTGCTGACAGGCTTACAAAAGGTCACAGTGACAGAGAGTCTCACCGTGAGAGCAAGACCTGGGTGGGCACTTGCAGCCTCAGGGGTCTGGAAGGCTTCCTGGAGGAGGTGAGATGTGGATGTATCTCAGCATAAAGTGAGAAAAAAACACACCCCTAATATTTACTGTATGCACATCTGCCTTTCCCAATTCAGTAACCCGTTTGCTCGGAGCAAGAGCCCTCTGTGGGGGTGGGGGTGGAGGGTTGACTGCCAGCTGGAAGGCAGAGGCCGCGAGTTTGTCCCACAGTGTCCTGTTGTTATTAGGGGGTTGGCAGACAGGCGAGAAGCAGCCCCAGGTTGATGTGCCCCCTTTGGAGACTGGCTCTGCTCACCCTGAGAGTGGCCCTGGCAGGTCACTCCTACCCAACCCTGCCTTCGTCCCTGAGAAGCGAAATCCCCAAGGCCTCATTCCCATAGCGGTCTTGCCATCATTTCTATCTCCTGCCAGCTGAATTGGGTCAGCCCTGGCTTTGCCGGCCCTCGACTCTCCAGCAGGTGCCCATGGCCTGAGGCCTCAGAGCTTCCTTCTGACTGTGACAGCGTGGTTTTGGTTCCCACACTCAGGACAGATTGAAACCTGCCTCTGCGGTGGGAACATGAGACAAAGGGCCTTGGCAGCTCTGGTGAGTGGCGGTCCCAGAACCGGCTCTGCCTGGCTGGGGCTGGCCGCGTCCCCCTCGTCCTCTCCAGCTCAGGTCTGGGTTCTGAGGCAGCGCTTGGGCAAGTAATAGCAAATAAAACGTACAAATCATTCATAACCTCATTTGCTACTGTTCCCATCTTCCTACCACATTTGGCATTTTTATTCAAGTCAGAAGATAAAAAGACCGAGGATAAATTCATTTGAGTTTTTCCCCTATTCTTGAAGTTCAGGTGCTAACTAAGGAGGGAGGCAGAGCTGGGGGTCCAGGCCAGACTCAGAGAGAGTTAAAGGCCCAAATGATCAAAGAGAATTTACCCTGAAGTTCAGGTATTAATATGAGAATTTACCCTGAAGTTCATGTTAATAAGCGAATCACTAATATGTTTTGGGCATTTGCTCTGTCCGGCTCTGTGCCAGGTGCCTCACATTCAGAATTCCATGTCCTCCTTACACCAGCCCTAGGAGCTGAGTGCTGTGCTAAGGCTGAGGAAGTTGAGACTCTAAAAGGCTAAATGACTTGCCCAGGCCCACCTCTGATCAGTGGTCGAGCTGGGATTCAAATTCCGGCAGCCTGACCACAGAGGCCTGGCTAGTTGTAAAGGGACAGCAAGCAGGAGAGAAAGATCTGGACCATGCAGGGCCTCAGCCTCGTTGGAAGGTCGGCCTCTGAGAGAACAGAATCCTCACAGCCCTGGGCAGTCTGTGAGCTGGCCCCTGAGACCACCTGGAGCGGCCCTGACCCTCCCGTGTGGTTTGCCCCCAGACCTGCTGAACAACCACATCCTGAAGTCGGCCATGTGTGCTGAAGCCATTGTGGCGGGGCTGTCCGTGGAGACCCTGCAAGGCACGACGCTGGACGTGGGCTGCAGCGGGGACATGCTCACCATCAACGGGAAGGCCATCATCTCCAACAAAGACATCCTGGCCACCAACGGCGTGATCCACTACATCGACGAGCTGCTCATCCCAGATTCAGGTAAACAGGCCTCTGTGGGCCTTGGTCCCAATAGGCCCACCGTCCCTTCTGTCGTCCATGGTGGCAGAGCTGAGGGAATCTGGGGATCTTTGGGGCCGATTCCCTACCTGCACCCAGCTCACAGCCTCTCAGGAGAAAAGGCCTAAGCGCCGGGTAGGTTGCGGCCACATCATGGAGAACCTGAGCTGCAGGCCTGGGAGTCCAGATGCTATCTTGGAGGTAGTGGAGAGCCACTGAAGTCTGGGGAGGGAGTGACTCAACCACAGGAGCCTTTCGGAAGATCTGGTTGGCACAGAGGGCGGTTGCTTTCTCAGTAGTGCGCAAGCACCCAGGGTCAGTGACCCCAGGAGAAATGACCGAATGGACTTCGGCTTGGGTTTCATTCAGCATCCTAGCCCCGTGCTGGAATTCCAGGGAGGGCTACTCCACGTGAGTGAGGAATTTTCACAGGAGGAACCAAACCAGCGGAAAACTCTTTCCATGGGTGTGGTCATTGGCATCATCTGCTGTTCAGAACCAACAATGATGCCTGTGTCCCTGGCTGTTAGTGCCCTGCCTAAGGGCAGAACTGGGACAAACCTCTGCCCCACTGGACCTCACCTTGCTTCCCCAACCAGTGAGATTTTCTGGGTGACCGTCCCCTGATGACACGGGCCTGCGGTGCCCCAGCAGCGTTCAGAGGCGCTGTTGACTCACGGGCTGACATTCCTGCTGATGAGTGTCATGCTCTGGGGTGAATGAGTGATAAATGAAAACAGCACTTTTAACTTTTGAACCCACTTTCTCCTTCCTTGTAGCCAAGACACTGTTTGAGTTGGCTGCAGAGTCCGATGTTTCCACCGCCATTGATCTTTTCACACAAGCGGGCTTCAGCACCCACCTCTCTGGAAGTGAGCGGCTGACTCTCCTGGCCCCCCTGAATTTCGTCTTCAAAGGTAATGTAAGGAAGGCATCCCTGTGGGGGTGTCACGGGGGGGCTGCTGCCCCACCACTGTCACCTCCCTAATTTACAGCACCCTGTGGAGCATGAGCATTCCCGCCCAGCTCAACCGAAAGCAGATGTGACTTCACCAGGAACCTCAGAGCCTCTGCTGTTTCCTTTGGCAGAGCAGAGGATGCATTTTGGGCTCTGGTCCTCAGAATTCAAGAGTTAGAATCTGTCTGGGGAGCAGAGCACTCCCCGAACTTTTAATTGAAAGGATCAATGCCAATGTGCTAGTCAGGCGGTCAATGAGGAGACAGCTGAGTCCTGGACTCAGGGAAGGCAGAGATGGGGGCCAAGCTGTGTCCATGCATTCCCCTCCCTCTTCAGGCAAAACTCCAACCCCCTCAGTTGTCTGGACCTTCTTGTGTTTTTGTAATTCCCAGAAGGTAGAAGATGTTAAGGACTATTGCAGTCTCACTTGATTTCTCAATCTCCATTTCCAAACTCAAGGACAGCCAGGCTCTCCACCACATTTGTCTCTCCACTCTTCTTTTCTGGGGTTGGCCCTGGCTCTGGCCCTGGCCTGACCATGCCGCCTCTTACAGATGGAAGCCCCCGCGTTGATGCCCGAATGAAGAATTTGCTTCGGAACCATATGGTTAAAGACCAGCTGGCTTCCAAGTATCTGTACCATGGACAGACCCTGGAGACTCTGGGCGGCAAAAAACTGAGAGTTTTTGTTTATCGTAATGTAAGTTCTGGGTCCTCCTTTGCCTCAGCTCCAAAAAAAAAAGCTGTATTAGTATTTAAAAAAAAAAGTTCTAGGAGCTTGCCTGTGAACTGGCTTCTAATAAGGAAGGGAGGAATTTCTACAAAACATATAAAAAGTGGCCCAGTGCAAACATTTGTGCATGGGTCATGAGGGGATTCCCTCAGCCCACCCTGCATCCTCTCCAATTGGGGACCCTTGGGGTATAACCCTTATGAGATCAGGCCAAAACCAGCAGTCAGACATCTCTCTCACAATCTGGGACCACTGGCTCCTAACCACTCACTTGCCTGTCTGCCTGCCTGATCGTCCCTAACTGCCCTCCTCGCCGACCTAATCTCGCCCCCAACTGCTTTCCCCTGCCGGCCTGACCTTGCCCAGTCTCTGTCTCTCTTTGGTTTTCTCAGCAATCCTCCAGGCCTTCCTGCCTCCCTGTGTTCCTCTTCCTCTCTCCCAGATGGGAGGGGCAGGGCCAGTGGGGGCCGTTCTACCCTCTGCCGGCCCTCCCTTCCATCCAGGCCTCTACAGTCCCCACCCCCCAGAGCCTGCTGCATGTGCAGCCTGGGTGTTAGGTCGAGTCTCCAGTCTTTGTGGATGTGACAGACTCAGGGTTTTATATATTAGGATATCAAGAGTTACATGAGATTTTGCAGAAGGATTAGAATTTGTTTTTCTGGAGGCCTTTGGGAATAAGCCACACACTGTCTGACCTACCTAGGTAGGCTGAGTCCACCTTGAACTCAAAGGGATGAAGGAAGGGTGGAAGGCTGGAGGTCTGACTCCTTAGCTTATGTGAAGAGAAGCCTCCTGGACTGAAGCACAGCCTTCCTTGGTCCAAAGGTTCTCTTTTCCTTTTTCTTCTCTCTCTTCAAACCCAACTGTTACCCTGGACTAGCAGGCAGGAAGCACAACACAGCATAGCTCCTGCTGGAGACCAGCCAGCACCATTGGACCAAAGATTGTTGACATCGGTTCAATAAATAAATCAGTAGACTTGACCTATTTATTTGATCATTGTTGATGGACCTCAAATAACTTGATATTCCCATTACAGGGCCTCTGTGTAACTTTATTGGAGCTTCTATGACCCTCTTTCCTTAAGAAACACTATTTTTAAGTTTTTCTTTCCTAGAGGAAATACATAATTTTATCCTAGTCTTGAAAACCCACCCCAATACATATTCATCGATGTTTGTGGATGAGGCCATCAGCACAAGTCGGGGGCCTCTGGTTGGGGGATAACCTGCCCTCTCTCTGCCCCCTTTGCACAGAGCCTGTGCATCGAGAACAGCTGTATCGCCGCCCACGACAAGAGGGGGAGGTACGGGACCCTGTTCACCATAGACCGGATGCTGACCCCCCCAGTGGGGACCGTCATGGATGTCCTGAAGGGGGACAATCGCTTCAGGTAACCAGCCCCAACCCAGGCGGGGCTTCTGCCAAGTGGTCATGCTAGGGAGGACTCTGGATGGCTGTAATTTGTCAAGCTCCTCTCCCCCAACCCCTAATCCTCCGGGGGTCAATGAACATTCGTGATACGCTGGTGTGACCATCCAGGCTTGGGATGTGAAGAAGATCAGGGTGACCTTGAAAGCCGAAGTTGAGAAAAAGGAAGTGTAACCTCACATCAATGGGGGACAGGGAGGGACCGAGTTTTTATTATTAAAGTGCAAGGAAGACATCATGTCCTCAATCTAAAATCCCAAGTGAGCTGAGCACCTGGTTTTGAATGTATGTGTGTCTCCCTGTGTGGTATCTACCAACTGCATTGCAGGCTTCATGCCACACCTTCTCAGGCTCCCTGCGCTACTCTTCCTGCCCATTCTCTCTGCCCCTTCTCTCCATTCCTGACTTCCTCACCACTAGGTGCTGTGACATTGAATGTTCCTGTCACTGAGTTCAGCCGCCTGCACAAGAACCTGGCCACCCTCCCCAGAATCACATCCCCAGGGTCCAATGGCTCTGCCAGTATCTGGGTCATTGGTCAGCCATGCCACTGGCCTCTCCCTCCTTCCTGCTCTGGCCTTTGACTTCTGGCCATTTAACTGAGCTTAGCATTCAGGAGAGAAGAAACAAACTGAATTGTCCCTTTTTTTGTAAGGGGTGCAAGGTGAATCCCAGTGCTCCGGGCTCCCCCTGCCCACAGTGACGGGGTGTATGTGGGAAAGTGACCGGTTCTGTTTTTGTATCCACAGGATGCTGGTAGCTGCCATCCAGACTGCAGGGCTGACCGAGATGCTCAACCGGGAAGGGGTCTACACAGTCTTTGCTCCCACCGATGAGGCCTTCCAAGCCATGCCGCCAGGAGAGCTGAACAAACTCTTGGGTAAAGACCAACTTATGTGCATGGATCGGCTTTTCTAAAGTATTAGTCAGGGTCCCAGCGGGAAAGAGTTGGCAGGTTGTGAAGGGTTTGACTGGAAGAAATTTAATGAGAGGCTATTGGCAGAATTGTGGACAGGGTTAAGGATGTGGCCGAGTATGATGGCACCTAGGGACGGACAACCATGGCAGACCTGGGGGTGGGAGGGGTGGGGTGGGCAGGCCAGGAGAGCTGTACGCGGGGCACAGGACAGTGGCCAGAGTCACAGTATAGCTGCTGTCAGAACCATGGCCACTATGAGCCTCAGCCCCACCCCCACCCCCACTGCTGCCAGGCCTCCTGTCCGCTGGTTACAGGAGGGGGAAGGAGGGAGCCCGGAAGATACCTTTCATAGCAGTCAGCCTTCTGGGCACCAAACAAGGCAGAGAAGAGCAGAAAGGACTTCAGGGTGGGTAACTACCCAGTCATCGAGACATGGCTTCCACTTGGGACCTGTGAGAACAGGGATAATGAAGCCTTTTACCTGCATCAGACCTCTCTTGGGATGAAAGCTTGACTGGAAGCTACTCACAGCCCTGAGAAATGTAGCTGAGGATGTTTGAGAAGAAACCTAGTGGTCAAGAGTGTGGGCAAGTTCAAATCCTGACTCCTTGGTATTTACTCGCTGAGTGACCTCTAGCAAGTTGCTTAACCTCTCTGAGCCTCAGTTTTTCCATTAGAAAAATGAGGGAGGTGAGAGCTCCTTGTGGTGAGGATGAAAGGTGGTATTCCCACATGGTGGACACACAGTAACGGCTTTGCTGGTGGAGAAGTAGGACAGGGCTGCAGGGTTGAGTTCTGACGCCTGCTCGTAAGAGACACTTCCACCCATGGCAGAGAAGTGGGCCTGGAGAGGAAGGACCTCGGCCAAATTTTCAGGCCCACATAGACTACACCTACCTTCCTGCTCTGGAAGGGAATAGAAAGTTCAGGTTGCAGGCAGCTGTGAGCTGGATTTGTGTCCTGTTTAATTTTCTTTATTGCTAAACGAATGTCTGCGTCTCTGATGCTGACGTATGTTCCTGGGAAGAGGGCAGAAGTGCATTCTGAACATAAACTTTCCACCTCCTCTCCGTCCAGCAGGAATGAAGTATTTCCCCAGGGGCCTGAGCCTGCTAGGCTTCCGGTTCACTTTCAGCTGTGTGGGGGCCGAGAGGGGCAAGGACAAAGCTTCCCAAACATGCCCTCCCTCCAGCCCAAGGGCAGGGTTAGACCCCAGCACTCCTGGGGGATGGAGGGCCAGTCAGGCATTAACGGTCAATCGGGTATTAGGGCCCTGCACCTCGGGGGCTGGCAATGTCTCCTTGGAAGGGAAGCTCATGCCAGCTGCAGACTATCTGTTTGGAAATCACTTGGTACCTGTGGCTCCATCACACAGCACTAATGTGGATGTGTGAATAACCAAGCCGACTCTCCAAAATGCTTTAAAACTTTCTCCGTTCTCAGTTCCAAGATGCTGGAAATAACCATCCATAAGACCCCGGGGGAGATCCAGCCATTTGGCTGGTAATGTGAGCATCAGTGGCAGCCTTGATAAAGATGAGAGAGCAGCTGGCAGCTTGAAGAATTGCCTCCCACACTTAATTTAGGGAAATGCCTGTGCACCTTTATGAGCAATCATGCTTCCCCGGTTGGTGGAGAAGCTGATGTGGGCTGGAAGGAATGCTGAGATGTGAGGAGGAGAGATGTGGTGTCGGGAATCCCCCCTTGGCCCTGACCTCATCGGCTCCATGGTTCCTCCAGATTGCAGCTGTTGACTCTTTTAAGTTCTCCCTTCAGGAAATAGCCGTCTCAGAATATGCGTTTGAGAGCAGAATGTGTAAATATTTCACTACTGTGTTATAGCCATCGGGAGCCACGCTGATGATGAAATGTCCCAGATGCCGGTGCTGGAAAGGTCCCTGGCTTTTCAAGCAAATATTTAGCTCATGGAAACATGAGTCATGCTCACAGAGGAGTATGGATTAACTCCTTCTCAGCATCAAGAGAACATGTGCTCGAACCCAGGAGCCGGGGGGATGCATGACCACGGACACATCTTGTTCCCTGGTCACTCGTGGTGGGACAGAGGGCTGAGCACACAGTGGTGCTCAGTGAGCGTTCGTTAGCCAGACAGGAGTTCTCCATCTCAGGGGTGGCCATTTGTCCCTTTCTCCACCACACCAATGATCAGCCTTGTGGTTAACTCTGTTTTCTTTCCCACAAACCTGCAGGCAATGCCAAGGAGCTTGCCAGCATCCTGAAATACCACATTGGTGATGAAATCCTGGTGAGCGGCGGCATCGAGGCCCTGGTGCGGCTGAAGTCTCTCCAGGGTGACAAGCTGGAAGTCAGCTCAGTGAGTGTGTCTGAAAGTTGAAAGGCTGGCTGTGCCCTCCGCCAGGGTTCCAGGCACATCTCACCCCGGAATGGCATCACACACACACAGTCTTTAAGATTTATCTTGAACCTCTGAGGGCATCTTGTGGAAAAAAAATAGAAAAGGGTCTTCAGGGAAATCAAGTGAGATTGTGGCTAGACATGAATAAGAGCTTCCACACTTGCAGGGGAATAAAGCCTCTGATTGGCATCTGGGGGAGGGTCTTAGACCTTCCTTCCTGTAAGGAGATGATAGGCGATTACTTTTATGTCTTGAGAGATGAATCTCCAACCTACGGCTTCCCCCAATTTCAGGGCTCACTGATTTGTGCCATGAGCCAGACCATCCCAAAAGGCTTTCCTTCTGATGCTTGATCTGTGAGCCTTCCCTTGTCCTGCTCGTTGATACATATTCCACGTTGGATCTGCCACTGAGCCCCTGTGGAGGGACCACTCTTCCAGGATGCAGCTGGCTCTGCCTCTGTGTCCTGCTGTCTCCTGACCTTCAGCCATCCCTTTGCTCATCCATTTCCCTCCAGAGCAAGGGAAAGGCATGTAGGGAGGCCTTGTTTGACTTTTGCCAGTCACCAGAGACTCTCTCAGCTCTTAGCTTTGGGGTCAGGTCCTGTCTGTCACAGGCTTCAGTTCCCCCTTTTACCCTTGGGGTCTGACATGTGGGTCATTCAGGAAAGCCAAAGACAGATTTACCCTGGTGCGCTTCCTATGAGAAAATCCTAAGTAGGGCATCAAGAAAGAGTGGAAAAAGCACCCAGAAAAAGCAAACAGGAGACCTCGTTTCTGTCCCCATCCATCCCCTCAGCTGAGCTTAAAGGACGCTCTTGGCCTCTCTTGAGTCTCAGTTTCCTCTTCTGTCAAGTGAGGCAATAAAATCTGCCTCCTCCCCAGGCACTGCTGTGAGGGAGAAGTGGGAACACAGAAGAGCATTTTGTACATGACAACGTGCTGAGTCACACGAGGCACTGGAATGCATGTACCAGACCAAAGGTCTGCAGCCTGCAGGGACTGTTCCTTTCACCACAGTGTCCCCAACACTTCGCTCAGGGTCTGGCATTCAGTAAATATTTGCTGAATGAATAAGTATGCTGTACGTTCAACAACCAGTGCCTCTTTTTCTGCCAGAAAAATAACGTAGTGAGTGTCAACAAGGAGCCTGTTGCTGAAGCGGACATCATGGCCACCAACGGCGTGGTCTATGCCATCTCCACTGTCCTGCAGCCTCCAGGTAAGGCCCCATGCCCACTCAGTTTGTAGCTGGGCCCTTCTCTAGCGGTTGGTGTTCGATAGAAAAAAACTCTCCTAAGCACATATAGGAACAAGGTGCCATGTGCAAAGTGAGCCTTCATGAACACATCACCTTGGCTAATTGAAAGCTAATTAGGACTGTTGTTTCCAAGATGTTATACCAAGTAACACGAGGACAGGCCTCTCTTTGCTGAATTGCCTGGCTGTCTTGGCCCGTTCAGACACAGCCCAGTTGTTGGTTATAGGCAGAGAGATGCTATGAGCGTGGTTCTCTCAGCATCATGCCCCGTGGCAGCTCTCTTTACCTCCAGCAAAGCTGAACGTGAGCCCAGCCTCCATCCTCACCTGTGCATTCGCCTTTCTCTGTACTCTCTCCCCACGACCAAATTCTGCCACGCCTTATGAAAGTTATAGGGGGGAAATTCATTAGAAAACGTGAGCCAGAGAGTCCAACAGTGCCCCTCAGCCATGGCTGTTAGGAAGGACATGCTAATAGTGTCTCTCGCCAACGCTGCCTTTTCTTTCATCCCCAGCCAACAGACCTCAGGAACGAGGGGACGAGCTTGCAGACTCTGCACTTGAAATTTTCAAACAGGCGTCAGCGTTTTCCAGGGTAAGATGCCTGCTAGGTTCCCCCTTGGTCTGAGCCGCCTTGGTCTTCTTGGGACCATGGAGGGGCCCTCCAGATCCCCTCTCTTCCGTGGCCGCTGCCCCAGGGCTCTTAGAAACTTCTTCCCTCTCTCACTGGGGCATCCTTCACTCTGGCCTGTGTGGAGCTCAGGGAAAAGAACCCAGCAGCCCCTGCTGCCTTTGCGGGCACAAGCCCAGGCCTTCACACTGAGACCTCTGAGCTTCTGTCCGTGGGGGCCACTGCTGGTGAGCACAGACAGCTCCAGGATCCATCTCTCCAAGGAATTCACCAGATGGCAGCCTGGCCTGCCCTGAGCCTGGGCCTTTAAGAGACTCTTCTGTTTCCCATGACATGGCCCCTCTAGGTGGTCCTGGGGCGTCCTGGGCTGTGGTTTGGGTTCTGGATACAGGACCAGCTCTGTGTGTAGAGCCTGCCTTCCTTGCCTTGGCCCCACCCCCTCTCTGGACCTCTCTGACTCTTTATTGCTCCTCATCCTGCTTCCAGCCTTGCAGGGCCCAGGAGCCCTGCTCAGGCTGCTTTGCTACTTCAGGGCAGGTGAAGCCCCTTCGCAATAGGGGGCACCTAACAAGTTTTGCTCCTCAAGAGGGGCCTGCAACAAGCAGTCCTTAACCCAGAGGCCTGCCGCTGGACTGTGTCACTTTCCTCTGGAAGAAGGTGTTAGTGCCCCTCAGGAAGGGTTCTTGGTCCTGAGCTCCTACTCCTGAGCACCCCTTCCACCCCTGTGCAGTCCCAGCTCCCCAAGCTTTAGGCTGTGGTCTTGGTGGAAGCCCAGCTTCGAGGTCTCCCGGGAATGTTCACCTCAACTTAGGACTGATAATGCCAACTGAGGAGCTCCCCGGGCCCAACAGTTCCACATGCCCCTTCCTCTTCCTCATCCCTGGTGCTTGCTCTGAGCAGGGGTGGCGGTGAAGGAAGCCACTGCTGTGAGCAGGTGCAGACACACCTTTCCCTACAAACCCTGACACCTCGTGTTTTTGTTCTTGTTTGCAGGGCCACACCTCTGTGAAACTAGGTAAGTCTGGTCTGGGTGTGAAGATCTCATTGACTTGTTGGGCCTTATTTCCAAGTGGGCCATACCTACCATCTGCTTTTATGTAGATAAAAACATCATGGGGCAATAAAGCAAGCCTGGCCTTCCGGGTGAGACACAGAACACTCAATTTCCTTCTCTATAAGATGGAGATAATAAGAGTGCCAACCTTTTAGGGTTGATATCAATGTTTGGCTTTAGGAGCCTGGGGGTATTGCACAGGGGCTTGATGGGAGATTGTGGTGAGGCCATGGTCCAAGCTGATAGATGTAGAAAATCCCAGTTCAGAACTTCAGTAAGACAGGAGGTCTTACAAACCACAGAGCACCTGCTGTGTGCAAGGAGAGTATGGAGGAAAGGGCCCACACTGACAAGCCCTAGCCATGGGGAAGTTTGCATCCTTCTCACTGTTCAAACTTCTCTCTTTCAGCCCCTGTCTACCAGCGGTTATTAGAGAGGATGAAGCATTAGTGCGAAGGACCACGGGAAGAATGCACTTCTGCAGCTCCTTGCCAATTTCTCTCAGTTTGCCAAAGAGACTGATTGTTTTTGAAACCAAATATCACACTTCAATGTACATGGGCTGCACCGTAATGAGATCTGAGCCTTGGGTGGGTTGGGGGAGGAGGGAGAGAGGTGTCATTTCAATTTTTGTTCTCTCTGCACATGGCTGTTAACCAACTCCATGGAGGGACCTGGGTGTCACTGCCTGACATTCACCTCCAGGAAGGACCTGTCCCAAATGTGGAATTTCCTGCCTATGCCCACTGCTCCAGAAAAGGGACCCAAAGTTTGTGGAGCACCCAAAACACGAATCAAGCAACCCAGCCTCCAGGGGGAGTCCCGGCATGGTTTCTGTAAAGCTCTTTCACAGCTGGAGAAATGGCGTCATTATAAGCTACGCGTTGAACTGCTCTGTCAAACACGCCTCGAGTCTACATGTGGTTTGGACACTTCCATGTGGCCCCGTCCAGGTAGATCAGAGAAAGTGGGTGGAGCACGCAGAGCCCAGGGTCTCCCAGGTTTGGCAGAGCCATGGTGTGTTTGTAATAATAAAACCAAAGACACATGCCTGTGTGGATGGGGACTGTGCTGGCTGGTGTTCACCAGGGAGGGCTCTGTGCCTCGGGGCTGTGAGGTTCCTTCACACCGACCTGCACTCAGGAGCATCTCCGCACTCGGGCCCTGAGCCGAGGATGGTCTGAGGTTTGAACCTCAGTCTCTGTGGAACTGTGTTCATTTCCATTTCCGGCAGCCCTTGAGTTTCCAGTTCACTTTACCAGCACTTCTCTTATTGGCCTGAAGCGCTGTGTTTCCTTCCGGCGGGGTGACCCTGTGGAATGGTTGTCTGCATGTAGATGAGGTGACTGAGGCTCAGGAAAGGGGGATCCATTGGGGACACAGAAAACGGTTCAGGTGGGCCTGGAGCCCAAGCCTCCTGACTCCCAGAGGCCACCAGTAGACAAGCAAGCAAGGTCAGGTTTTCCAGGTCATGCTCTCGGTGCCAACAACATTCCAGTCCCCACCCCTGATCCTTCTGTGGTGCCCATCTTAAAACATTCCTGGCACTGAGAGGCTGGCGTGGCCACGGCATCATTGCTCCCTAACGGTGTGGCCTGGGGTCCATCCCTGCACCTCTTAGTGCCTCTGTTTCCTCATCTCTACTGGAAATGACCGTCACTTCTACTCCATGGTTCCATTGTGAGGGTGAAAATGATGATGCTTACATGCTTGGCACAGCCTTAGGTATCCTTGCTCTCATCATGCTAAGACTGCTCAGGATCAGGGCGGCTGACAGCCTGCTTTGTGTCTTTTCCCAAAGGCAGCCCACTTCCTTTAAAAAATAAAAATAAAAGAGAGACATTCCTGCCCTCCCACACTTCACTCGGCCAGCAGGCGGAGCTCATTTCACTTCATGGACTCACAGACCCAAAATGGTGCTGTCCACAGCGCCTCTGCTGGTCAGTCCTGTGCTGGGAACAGGAGGCTGAGCAGACAACCCTCCCTCACAGACATTTCCTGTCACCCAATCAAGGCGCCCATTCATTCCACAGACAGGGAATCATTCTTGGGCTAACAGCGCTCCCACCTGCGTACCCACGTGGGCTCGGATGGACAGCCTGTGATTCTGCGCAGATAATACATCTGAGGGAGCGGGTGGGGGGTGAAACACAGGAGTTCCCAGAGCGAGATGGGAGGAGCTGAAGGAGCTAACTTAGTAAGTGGCTGGGCTTGGGGGAGGAGGGCTCAGGAGAGGGTGTCCTGAGAGGTGAGGTACCGTCTTCTGTGTGCGCCTGCTCCCTCACTTTCCCACAGCTCTGCCTGCTCACCTGGCCAGGCCAGTGTGCTCTGCGCTATCTCAGTTTAAGCTCCCAAAATGCATACACCTGGACTTCATAAGAACATCAAAACCCCAGGAATAACATTTAAAATAAAAATCTCAGGATTCCTTAAAAATGCCAAACTCCTCCCTCTCCCCTCCATCTGTCGCTTTGACCGCTGCCCTGGCCCCACGCAGCCTCCCCACCAAGAGGGCTCCACTTTATTCTCTCAGCTCTCCCTGGACCCGCTGTGACTGCCATTGCCCTGCTGCTCCCAGCCAAAGAGGATCAAGTTCTCATTGGGGGATCCTGAACAGCACCCACCCCGTGTTTTTTTCTGGAGACTCAGTATTAGGTGCTGCCACCTGGGATGGATTCCCAGGGTTAAGGGCTTAGCCAATGGCTGCTTCTGAAAATGGATAGTTGCAGGAGGGAGGTGTGTACCTGCCCTGAGCCACCATCTGTCAGAGCCCTGCCTGCTGAGCCCCAACCAGGAGAAATGGCTCTGATTGGTCCCTTCTCTCTCTGCTGTCACTCTGGGGCTACCAAGCCTCTGGGGTGTAGAGAGGACTGCAAGGACCCTTGGCACTGGGTTCCACAGACCTAGGCCTTCCCCACGCAGGAGGCAGGGGCTGTCTACACCTGACCTCCTTGGCCACCTGACAGGCCAGCTTGAGTATGGGAGCAGAGGGCAGGCTGCTGTGTCCGGCTATGAACCTAAATGCATGATCCTTTCAATTCCTGACATCAGTCCTGTGAAACGCTTGAGCGCTAGTAGGACCTTCATTTTACTACTGTGGACATGGGAGCTTAAAGAGAGAAAGCAGTTTGTCTGGTCAGAGAATAGGAAGAGCTGAAAAGCAGTCCAGACTCATGTGAGTCAGACTCTCTACTCTTACCCCATCTGCCCTCCTGCCCACTACACAGGGTCCATTGAGGAAGAGCCCAGGTAGCCCTGGGCAAGTAGGACATGAGTGCAGGGTAGCCAGAAAGGACTTGAAAACCCCACCCCTCCTGAGAAGTCCAAGCTAGCCCAGTCTCTGCTTGCACAGCCCTAGACCATAACTTATTTACATGCTCTGACTATAGGGAGAGGAGTCCCCAACAGCCATGGGTGCCAGCCACACCCGTGTCAGGAAAGAAGAGAAGGGAAAGGGATCCTCACACAGAGGAAAATACCTCTGTGCCCAAAACACTAATTCAATGTCATGCTCTGAGAGGCGCTGCCCGGAATATTGTGCTCAGAATTTTTCCAAAGCCAGGACAGAGAGCCATGGAATGAGGGATGGGCCCAATGTCCTATCCAGGAAAGTCAAATGAAGTCAAATGGGGCCATCTCGGCCATCCCTGCCTGGTGACGAAAGAAAGACATTCATCCCATGGGGTCCTTTGGCCAAAGCCAGATGCAGGTAGTTCAGAGAATAAGTGGTAGGTCAGTAGAAGTCTGGGACATCTTCCCCCCAACCCCTCTCTCTCGCTTTATATATTCTGGCTATTAATCCCTCATAAAATGTATGATTTGCAAATTGTTTCTTGCATTCTCTGGGTTGCCTTTTTACTCTATTGATAGTGTCTTTTGATGAATAGAAAATTTTAATTTTGATGAAGTTCAATTTATCTATTTTTTTTTCTTTTGTTCCCTTTGCTTTTGGTGTCATATGTAAGAAATCATTGCCAAATCCAATTTGTCATGAAGATTTTCTCCTATGTTTTCTTCTAAACATTCTATAGTTTTAGCTCTTATGCATTTTGAGTTAATTTTTGCATATGGTGTAAGGTAAGGATGCAACATACAGTTTTCCCAATATCATTTGTTGGAAAGACTGTCCTTTCCCCCATTGAATTTTCTTGGCACTCAAGTTGAAAATCACTTGACCAGTTATGCAAGGGTTTATTTAGGGGCCTTTATTCTATTGTCTACTGGTCTGATATGTGTCAGTCTTTATATCAGTGCCACACTGTTTTGATTGCTGTAGCTTTGTAGTTAATTTTGAAATCATTAAGTGTGAGTCTTCCTATCCTGTTCTCCTTTTGCAAGATTGTTTTGACTATTCTGAGCCTCTTGAGTTTTAGAAGAATTTTTTCTTTTTACCAAAAAAAGTGATTTTGATAGGCATTACATTGATATTATATCTCACTTTGTGTAATATTGACATCTTAATATGTCTTCCAATCCATGAACACAGAATGTGTTTTTTTTAATTTATTTATTGTCTTTAACTTCTTCCAACAATGTTTTATACTTTTCAGCATACAAGTCTTTCATAGAATCTGGTTAAGTTAATTATTTTATTATTTAAAAAAATATATATTTTATTGGTATTTTACAGAGAGGAAAGGAGAGTGATAGAGAGTCAGAAACGTCGATGAGAGAGAATAATCAACCAGCTGCCTCCTGCACCCCCCCCACTGGGGATGTGCCCACAACCAATGTACATGCCCTTGACCGGAATCGAACCTGGGACCTTTCAGTCCGCAGACCAACGCTCTATCCACTGAGCCAAACCGGTTTCAGCTATTTTATTCTTTTTGATGCTATCATAAATGGAATTGCTTTTTTAAGTTCCCAATATGTTTTTAAAAGATTGCTTTGGCTTCACCATGGAGGATAGGTTATTGGAAGCTAGGAAACCAGTTAAGAGGCTGTTATAATCATCCAGGTGAGAGATGATGGAGGACCAGGGTGGTAGCACTAAAGATGGAAGGACCTGGAGGATTTGAGATATATTTGGAGGTAGAACAGATATGACTTGAAAATGGGATGGAGAAGTAGAGAAAGGGAGGGTTCAAGGATGGCTCTCACATATTCAACTTGAACAGCTGGCTAAAAGGTGATACCATTTTTCAAAAATGCAGAAGAATGGGTCAAGCTTCCAGTTGAAGAAAACTAAGGATTCTACTTAGGATATTTGAAGTTGAGGCAAACCATATAATATCCAAGCGGGAGGTCAAGAAGGCTGTTAGATATCCAGGCCTATCACTCAGGGGAAAGGTCAGGCCTGTGGTGGATTGTTAGGGGGTTATCAAACATAGGTATTATTCAAAAAGAGTGATCAGGTGAGACCATCTAGAGAGAGTGTGTAGACAAAGAAGAGTGCCTGGGACAGTGCCTGAGCTGAGGCAGAGAAACTGCAGAAGGACCTGAGAAGT